AAAGATGTGGAACCACAGCTCAGTAATTAACACATACACAGTGTGGTATCAGACACCACAATACTAGCAAGTGACGTATACACACTCTGATATACAACACTACAATGCTAACAACTAACACATACAGAATGTGGTATCATGCACCACACTCCTAACAACTAACATAGTGTGGTATCATGCACACATTTCCTAAACAAACAATAAAACTAAATATGTGTGGTATCATGCACCACACTCCTAACAACTAACATAGTGTGGTATCATGCACCACACTCCTAACAACTAACATAGTGTGGTATCATGCACCACACTCCTAACAACTAACACAGTGTGGTATCATGCACCACACTCCTAACAACTAACACATACAGTGTGGTATCATGCACCACACTCCTAACAACTAACATAGTGTGGTATCATGCACCACACTCCTAACAACTAACACAGTGTGGTATCATGCACCACACTCCTAACAACTAACATAGTGTGGTATCATGCACCACACTCCTAACAACTAACATAGTGTGGTATCATGCACCACACTCCTAACAACTAACACAGTGTGGTATCATGCACCACACTCCTAACAACTAACACATATAGTGTGGTGTCATGCACCACACTCCTAACAACTAACACATACAATGTGGTATCATGCACCACACTCCTAACAACTAACACAGTGTGGTATCATGCACCACACTCCTAACAACTAACACATACAATGTGGTATCATGCACCACACTCCTAACAACTAACACATACAGAATGTGGTATCATGCACCACACTCCTAACAACTAACACATACAGTGTGGTATCATGCACACCAACTCCTAACAACTAACACATACAGTGTGGTATCATGCACCACACTCCTAACAACTAACACATACAGTGTGGTATCATGCACCACACTCCTAACAACTAACACATACAGTGTGGTATCATGCACCACACTCCTAAAAACTAACACATACAGTGTGGTATCATGCACCACACTCCTAACAACTAACACATACAGTGTGGTATCATGCACCACACTCCTAACAACTAACACATACAGTGTGGTATCATGCACCACACTCCTAACAACTAACACATACAGTGTGGTATCATGCACGACACTCCTAACAACTAACACATACAGTGTGGTATCATGCACCACACTCCTAACAACTAACACATACAGTGTGGTATCATGCACCACACTCCTAACAACTAACACATACAGTGTGGTGTCATGCACCACACTCCTAACAACTAACACATACAGTGTGGTATCATGCACCACACTCCTAACAACTAACACATACAGTGTGGTATCATGCACCACACTCCTAACAAACTAACACATACAATGTGGTGCATGCACCACACTCCTAACAACAACACATACAATGTGGTGTCATGCACCACACTCCTAACAACTAACACATACAATGTGGTATCATGCACCACACTCCTAACAACTAACACATACAGTGTGGTATCATGCACCACACCTCCTAACAACTAACACATACAGTGTGGTATCATGCACCACACTCCTAACAACTAACACATACAGTGTGGTATCATGCACCACACCCTAACAACAAAACACATACAGTGTGGTATCATGCACCACACTCCTAACAACAAACACATACAGTGTGGTATCATGCACCACACTCCTAACAACTAACACATACAATGTGTATCATGCACCACACCCTAACAACTAACACATACAGTGTGTATCATGCACCACACTCCTAACAACTAACACATACAATGTGTGTCATGCACCACACTACTCTAACAACTAACACATACAGTGTGGTATCATGCACCACACTCCTAACAACTAACACATACAATGTGGTGTCATGCACCACACTCCTAACAACTAACACATACAGTGTGGTATCATGCACCACACTCCTAACAACTAACACATACAATGTGGTGTCATGCACCACACTCCTAACAACTAACACATACAGTGTGGTGTCATGCACCACACTCCTAACAACTAACACATACAATGTGGTGTCATGCACCACACTCCTAACAACTAAACACATACAATGTGGTGTCATGCCCCACACTCCTAAAAACTAACACATATAGTGTGGTGTCATGCACCACACTCCTAACAACTAACACATATCAGTGTGGTATCATGCACCACACTCCTAACAACTAACACATACAATGTGGTGTCATGCACCACACTCCTAACAACTAACACATACAGTGTGGTATCATGCACCACACTCCTAACAACTAACACATATAGTGTGGTGTCATGCACCACACTCCTAACAACTAACACATACAGTGTGGTATCATGCACCACACTCCTAACAACTAACACATACAATGTGGTGTCATGCACCACACTCCTAACAACTAACACATACAGTGTGGTGTCATGCACCACACTCCTAACAACTAACACATACAATATGGTGTCATGCACCACACTCCTAACAACTAACACATACAATGTGGTGTCATGCACCACACTCCTAACAACTAACACATATAGTGTGGTGTCATGCACCACACTCCTAACAACTAACTTACAGTGTGGTATCATGCACCACACTCCTAACAACTAACCATACAATGTGGTGTCATGCACCACACTCCTAACAACTAACACATACAGTGTGGTATCATGCACCACACTCCTAACAACTAACAATATAGTGTGGTATCATGCCCCCACACTCCCTAACAACTAACACATACAGTGTGGTATCATGCACCACACTCCTAACAACTAACACATATAGTGTGGTATCATGCACCACACTCCTAACAACTAACACATACAGTGGGGTATCATGCACCACACTCCTAACAACTAACACATATAGTGTGGTATCATGCACCACACTCCTAACAACTAACACATATAGTGGGGTATCATGCACCACACTCCTAACAACTAACACATATAGTGTGGTATCATGCACCACACTCCTAACAACTAACACATACAGTGTGGTATCATGCACCACACTCCTAACAACTAACACATATAGTGTGGTATAAATGCACCACACTCCTAACAACTAACACATATAGTGTGGTATCATGCACCACACTCCTAACAACTAACACATAACAGTGTGGTATCATGCACCACACTCCTAACAACTAACACATATAGTGTGGTATCATGCACCACACTCCTAACAACTAACACATACAGTGTGGTATCATGCACCACACTCCTAACAACTAACACATACAGTGTGGTATCATGCACCACACTCCTAACAACTAACACATATAGTGTGGTATCATGCACCACACTCCTAACAACTAACACATACAGTGGGGTATCATGCACCACACTCCTAACAACTAACACATTATAGTGTGGTATCATGCACCACACTCCTAACAACTAACACATACAGTGTGGTATCATGCACCACACTCCTAACAACTAACACATACAGTGTGGTATCATGCACCACACTCCTACAACTAACACATATAGTGTGGTATCATGCACCACACTCCTAACAACTAACACATACAGTGTGGTATCATGCACCACACTCCTAACAACTAACACATATAGTGTGGTATCATGCACCACACTCCTAACAACTAACACATATAGTGTGGTATCATGCACCACACTCCTAACAACTAACACATACAGTGTGGTATCATGCACCACACTCCTAACAACTAACACAGTGTGGTATCATGCACCACACTCCTAACAACTAACACAGTGTGGTATCATGCACCACACTCCTAACAACTAACACAGTGTGGTGTCATGCACCACACTCCTAACAACTAACACATACAGTGTGGTGTCATGCACCACACTCCTAACAACTAACACATACAGTGTGGTATCATGCACCACACTCCTAACAACTAACACATACAGTGTGGTGTCATGCACCACACTCCTAACAACTAACACATACAGTGTGGTGTCATGCACCACACTCCTAACAACTAACACATACAGTGTGGTATCATGCACCACACTCCTAACAACTAACACATACAGTGTGGTATCATGCACCACACTCCTAACAACTAACACATACAAGTGGTGTCATGCACCACACTCCTAACAACTAAACACATACAGTGTGGTATCATGCACCACACTCCTAACAACTAACACATACAATGTGGTATCATGCACCACACTCCTAACAACTAACACATACAGTGTGGTATCATGCACCACACTCCTAACAACTAACACATACAATGTGGTATCATGCACCACACTCCTAACAACTAACACATACAGTGTGGTATCATGCACCATCACTCCTAACAACTAACACATACAGTGTGGTATCATGCACCACACTCTAACAACTAACCCCATACAATGTGGTATCATGCACCACACTCCTAACAACTAACACATACAATGTGGTATCATGCACCACACTCCTAACAACTAACACATACAGTGTGGTGTCATGCACCACACTCCTAACCAACTAACACATACAGTGTGGTATCATGCACCACACTCCTAACAACTAACACATACAATGTGGTATCATGCACCACACTCCTAACAACTAACACATACAGTGTGGTATCATGCACCACACTCCTAACAACTAACACATACAGTGTGGTATCATGCACCACACTCCTAACAACTAACACATACAATGTGGTATCATGCACCACACTCCTAACAACTAACACATACATGTGGTATCATGCACCACACTCCTAACAACTAACACATACAGTGTGGTATCATGCACTACACTCCTAACAACTAACACATACAATGTGGTATCATGCACCACAATGCTAGTGGCATATGTTTACTCATTTACTCAATCTACTCATAGAGTGACTACCTCATCTTCCACTATTTATTGTATATTTCTGTTATGTCCTTGTATTGTACTGATAAAGCCATTGAATGTCGCAACGTCTACAAGATACCCAGACGATGCATATGTGTCTAATGTCTTCATTTACTCAGTCTACTCACCTCCCCATAATTCTTCTCTATTGTCGACCTTTGCTTGGTAAAGTTTCTGAAAAGAGAAAGACAACATGCATTAGATTTGCAGGTGGGTGGCAGCAGCACGTCTGACATGGCTCAGTCTAGTGTTAACACCTCTACTGTTAACACCTCTACTACCCGGTACGGTACCAATCAGCGCACCCAGTTTAACGCTGTCGGTTCAGAGCCGTTGGTTCAGCACCAAGCTGTTTCGGCAACATCCCGCTCCTAGGACGCTCACGTGTACCATCCGGCTCCCAGTACGCTCACATGTACCATCCGGCTCCTAGGACGCTCACATGTACCGTCCGGCTCTTACAACGCTCACAAGTACCATCCGGCTCCTAGGACGCTCACATGTACCATCCGGCTCCTAGGACGCTCACATGTACCATCCGGCTCCCAGTACGCTCACATGTACCAACCGGCTCCTAGGACGCTCACATGTACCATCCGGCTCCCAGTACGCTCACATGTACCATCCGGCTCCCAGTACGCTCACATGTACCATCCGGCTCCTAGGACGCTCACATGTACCATCCGGCTCCTAGGACGCTCACATTTGTCATCCGGCTCCTAGGACGGTCACATGTACCATCCGGCTCCTAGGACGCTCACATGTACCATCCGGCTCCCAGTACGCTCACATGTACCAACCGGCTCCTAGGACGCTCACATGTACCATCCGGCTCCCAGTACGCTCACATGTACCATCCGGCTCCCAGTACGCTCACATGTACCATCCGGCTTCTAGGACGCTCACATGTACCATCCGGCTCTTACAACGCTCACAAGTAAAATCCGGCTCCTAGGACGCCCACATGTACCATCCGGCTCATAGGACGCTCACATGTACCATCCGGCTCCTAGAACGTTCACATGTACCATCCGGCTCCTAGGACGCTCACATGTTCCATCCAGCTCCTAGGACGCTCACATGTACCATCCGGCTCCAAGGACGCTCACATGTACAATCCCGCTCCTAGGACGCTCACATATACCATCCCGCTCCAAGGACGCTCACATGTACCATCCGGCTCATAGGACGCTCACATGTACCATCCGGCTCCCAGGACGCTCACATGTACCATCCGGCTCCCAGGACGCTCACATGTACCATCCGGCTCCTAGGACGCTCACATGTACCATCCCGCTCCTAGGACGCTCACAAGTACCATCCGGCTCCTAGGACGCTCACATGTACCATCCCGCTCCTAGGACGCTCACATGTACCATCCGGCTCCCAAGACGCTCACATGTGCCATCCGGCTCCTAGGATGCTCACATGTACCATCCCGCTCCTAGGACGCTCACAAGTACGATCCGACTCCTAGGACGCTCACAACTACCATCCGACTCCTAGGACGCTCACATGTACCATCAAGCTAACAGGACGCTCACATGTACCATCCCGCTCCTAGAACGCTCACATGTACCATCCCACTCCTAGGACGCTCACATGTACCATCCCGCTCCTAGGACGCTCACATGTACCATCCGGCTCCTAGGACGCTCACATGTACCATCCGGCTCCTAGGACGCTCACATTTACCATCCCGCTCCTAGGATGCTCACATGTACCATCCCGCTCCTAGGACGCTCACATGTACCATCCGGCTCCTAAGACGCTCACATGTACCATCCCGCTCCTAGGAAGCTCACATGTACCATCCGGCTCCCAGGAGGCTCACATGTACCATCCGGCTCCTAGGACGCTCACATGTACCATCCCGCTCCTAGGACGCTCACATGTACCATCCGGCTCCTAGGATACTCACATTTACCATCCCGCTCCTAGGACGTTCACATGTACCATCCGGCTCCTAGGACGTTCACATGTACCATCCCGCTCCTAGGACGCTCACATGTACCATCCGGCTCCTAGGACGCTCACATGTACCATCCGGCTCCTAAGACGCTCACATGTACCATCAGGCTCCTACGACGCTCACATGTACCATCCAGCTCCTAGGACGCTCACATGTACCATCCGGCTCCTAGGAAGCTCACATGTACCATCCGGCTCCTAGGACGCTCACATGTACCATCCGGCTCCTAGGACGCTCACATGTACCATCCGGCTCCTAGGACGCTCACATTTGCCATCCGGCTCCTAGGACGGTCACATGTACCATCCGGCTCCTAGGACGCTCACATGTACCATCCGGCTCCCAGGACGCTCATGTGTACCATCCGGCTCCCAGGACGCTCACATGTACCATCCGGCTCCTAGGACGCTCACATGTATCATCCCGCTCCTAGGACGCTCACAAGTACCATCCGGCTCCTAGGACGCTCACATGTACCATCCGGCTCCTAGGACGCTCACATGTACCATCCGGCTCCTAGGACGCTCACATGTACCATCCGGCTTCTAAGACGCTCACATGTACCATTCGGCTCCTAGGACGCTCACATGTGCCATCCAGCTCCTAGGACGCTCACATGTACCATCAGGCTCCTAGGAAGCTCACATGTACCATCCGGCTCCTAGGACGCTCACGTGTACCATCCGGCTCCTAGGACGCTCACATGTACCATCCGGCTCCTCGGATGCTCACATGTACCATTGGGCTCCTAGGACGCTCACATTTGTCATCCGGCTCCTAGGACGGTCACATGTACCATCCGGCTCCTAGGACGCTCACATGTACCATCCGGCTCCCAGGACGCTCACATGTACCATCCGGCTCCCAGGACGCTCACATGTACCATCCGGCTCCTAGGACGCTCACATGTACCATCCCGCTCCTAGGACGCTCACAAGTACCATCCGGCTCCTAGGACGCTCACATGTACCATCCGGCTCCTAGGACGCTCACATGTACCATCCGGCCCCCTAGGACCTCACATGTACCATCCGGCTCCTAAGACGCTCACATGTACCATCCGGCCCTAGGACGCTCACATGTAACCATCCGGCTCCCTAGGACGCTCACATGTACCATCCGGCTCCTAGGAAGCTCACATGTACCATCCGGCTCCCAGGACGCTCACATGTACCATCCGGCTACTAGACGCTCACATGTACCATCCGGCTCCTAGGACGCTCACATGTACCATCCGGCTCCTAGGACGCTCACAAAGTGCCATCCGGCTCCTAGGACGGTCACATGTACCATCCGGCTCCTAGGACGCTCACATGTACCATCCGGCTCCCAGGACGCTCACATTTACCATCCGGCTCCCAGGACGCTCACATGTACCATCCGGCTCCTAGGACGCTCACATGTACCATCCGGCTCCTAGGACGCCCACATGTACCATCCGGCTCCTTGGACACTCACATGTACCATCCAGCTCCCAGGACGCTCACATGTACCATCCGGCTCCTAGGACGCTCACATGTACCATCCAGCTCCCAGGACGCTCACATGTATTATCCGGCTCCTAGGACGCTCACATGTACCATCCAGCTCCCAGGACGCTCACATGTACCATCCGGCTCCTAGGACGCTCACATGTACCATCCAGGGTCCCAGGACGCTCACATGTACCATCCGGCTCTAGGAGCTCACATGTACCATCCAGCTCCAGGACGCTCACATGTACCATCCGGCTCCTAGGACGCTCACATGTACCATCCAGCTCCAGGACGCTCAATGTACATCCAGCTCCCAGGACGCTCACATGTACCATCCGCTCCTAGGACGCTCACATGTACCATCCAGCTCCCAGGACGTCACTATGTACCATCCGGCTCCTAGGAGGGTCACATGTACCATCCAGCTCCCAGGACGCTCACATGTACCATCCAGCTCCCAGGACGCTCACATGTACCATCCGGCTCCTAGGACGCTCACATGTACCATCCAGCTCCAGGACCTCACATGTACCATCCAGCTCCCAGGACGCTCACATGTACCATCCGGCTCCTAGGACGCTGACATGTACCATCCAGCTCCCAGGACGCTCACATGTACCATCCGGCTCCTAGGACGCTCACATGTACCATCCAGCTCCCAGGACGCTCACATGTACCATCCAGCTCCCAGGACGCTCACATGTACCATCCGGCTCCTAGGACGCTCACATGTGCTCACATACTGGTTAAGAGCGACTCGTTGCTCTTAAGATGAAATAAAATCGTTTCAAGTATCACCAGTGTTATGGAGCACACATCACAGTATGTGATGGAGCACACATCAAAGTATGTGATGGAGCACACATCACAGTATGTGATGGAGCACACATCACAGTATGTGATGGAGCACACATCACAGTATGTGATGGAGCACACATCACAGTATGTGATGGAACACACATCACAGTATGTGATGGAACACACATCAAAGTATGTGATGGAGCACATATCAAAGTATGTGATGGAACACACATCAAAGTATGTGATGGAGCACATATCAAAGTATGTGATGGAACACACATCACAGTATGTGATTGAACACACATCACAGTATGTGATGGAACACACATCAAAGTATGTGATGGAGCACACATCAAAGTATGTGATGGAACACACATCACAGTATGTGATGGAGCACACATCAAAGTATGTGATGGAACACACATCACTGTATGTGATGGAACACACATCACTGTATGTGATGGAGCACACATCAAAGTATGTGATGGAGCACACATCAAAGTATGTGATGGAACACACATCACAGTATGTGATGGAACACACATCAAAGTATGTGATGGAACATAAATCACAGTATGTGATGGAGCACACATCAAAGTATGTGCTGGAACACACATCACAGTATGTGATGGAACACATCACAGTATGTGATGGAACACACATCAAAGTATGTGATGGAGCACACATCAAAGTATGTGATGGAACACACATCACAGTATGTGATGGAACACACATCACAGTATGTGATGGAACACACATCAAAGTATGTGATGGAACACACATCATAGTATGTGATGGAACACACATCACAGTATGTGATGGAACACACATCAAAGTATGTGATGGAACACACATCACTGTATGTGATGGAACACACATCACAGTATGTGATGGAACACACATCACAGTATGTGATGGAACACACA